TGCTCTGTTATTGATCTGTTGTTGCTTGGGATTTATCAGACTGTGATGTTGTCTGGGTGGTGTTACTGTGCTGCTGCTTGAGCTGATTTTTGGACAGCTTGATGAAGGATGATTGGAGGAGCCCATAACAGCAGTATTGTCATTCTTTGTAATAAGACTGTGGGTTGTAGTATTACAGAATTCTGTTAGGAAACAGAAAATCTGTTTTCTGTTTTTTTTGTTAAACAGATTTTCTGTTTTAGTTTGATCCTTGTTGAACAAAATCTGTCTAGATTCAGTTGGGAAGAGAGGTTCTGGGTTATATCAGGACTTATCTGCTATGGTTTTAGAGGTGCTGTCTGCTGTGCCAGGAGCTGATTTGCATTGGTCTGGCATCTGGGGTGTAGCTAGAAGGCCTGGGCAGCTGGGAGCATTTTGTCTGTTCTGGTCTGGTTCTGCATTTAGTCTAGGCTGATGTTGTGCTGGTGCTTGGTGCTTGGTGCTTGGTGCTTGGTGTTTGGTGTTGGTTGATCTAAGGTATGGAGCTGGATTGCAGGAGCTGTTCAAGTTTAAGAGCCTTTTATTGTAATTTGAGATGGTTTTGATCCTTTTGAAGGATTAAAGCCATTTTTTCTATTTTGTAGAACATCTTGTTCTTTAATTCTTGTAATTCATTATTTTTGGGAATAAAATTTTTTCCTTTTAAAAAAAAAAAAAAGGGTTTAGTTTGATCCTTGTAATTTCTGAATTCATTCAATAAAATTTCTATATTTTTTTTAAAATGATATATTATAAAGTATATTTAGGATAAAACGTGAAATAGTTGCCAAAAATATTTTTTATTTTTTATTCTCATAATTTGATAGACAAAAATGGCACCCAAACATGTTTTCTGTTTCAGTATTTATCACAAAACAGAGACATAAATTGTCTCTGTTTTTGATTGTTTTTAAGACGCGAAAACGTTACCAAACAACCCCAAATTGTTGTTGCTCGTTCTTTTGTTGAAGCTGAGTATCATGTTATGCCATCTGCTATAGCTGAGATTGTCTGGTTATGATGGCTCCTTGCTGATCTTGGCATTTCGGTATCCTCTCCTACTCCTATGTTCTACGACAACACCAGTGCTATTCAGATTGCTTATAACTCGGTCTTCCATAAGCGCACAAAGCACATTGAGATTGATTGTCATTTTGTGAGCCATCATTTGCAGCAGGGCACCATTACTCTCTCCTTTCTTCCTTCAACAATGCAGATAGCGGATTTTTTTACGAAGTCTCACACCATAACACGTTTTTGATTTTTTTTTTGGCAAACTCTTGATATTTTCCACCACATAATGAGTTTGTGAGGGGGTGTTAGAGTATTAATACTAAGGGTAGTTTATGTATTTTCTTTATGTTGTGTTGTCGTACTATATAAGACTTACTTTGTGTATTTTTAGGTTTGAGATGTGTATTACAGACTTACTTTTAGAATAATATAGTTTCTCTTTCTCTTCTCTATTCTTATTGATCAATTTTATCATTTAGGACATTCGGACGAAGCAGATTAAACAGAATGAACTTTACGATTTTGATTTCAGAGAACTAGTTGATGTAGAACAGGTTGCTGGTGGAAAGTAATCTTGATCTTGGCCTTGGCCTAGGTGTAAATGGGCCTTAGATAAATATCTAACTCTAGCCTAATTTCTAGTAGTTTCTTGTGTAGAAGTTTCTAGTGAGATATTAATAGAAGTAGTTGGAGGAGGCACTAAATTATGTAGTTGGAAGATGTATTGAACTAGGTAGTTGGGAGATGATAGAAGCTTTCCTTAATCCCTATAAAAAGGGTTATTGTGTTATCATTTGAGGCATCCAATCAAGTCAATCAATTTTTTTCAGAGTTTTTCTCTTATTTTCTCTATGGATTCAAAGTGTGTGTGAACATGCAAAGCACGAGGGAATGGTGATTTCCATATAATTTTTTTGTTTACCACTGCGTCAATTGGTATTACAGCATTGCTTGACCTTTTGTGATGACTCAACGAGGTGGTAACAATATTTCTTATGAAGGTGATCATGCAGAAGAGTTTCTTACGAGAACTGAATTCTTGGAACTTCAGCAAGGAGCGACGTATCCAACAATTCTAACGGGATACCCAGTAGGCCATGCAAGTTGTAGGCTATGGTTGCTCAGTTGGTATTGAGTCCAAACTAGGGTCCCAATCGAGAGAGGGTACAAAACAACGATAGAGCTCGTGTTCAACCTATTCGAGATCATCTTTCTATCTATCTAGTGAGACCGAATGTTTCCGATGCATCGACTCGTGTCACCCTACCGGAGATTCTAACGATGATAATGATGAGTATTTACTTGGTAATGCTACCGGTTACAAGAATCCCAAATGCGAGTCTAGTGATTTCTATATGAAACTTACCCTACCCAATTTTAATTGTTATCTTTGTTAAAATATAAATACTTAAGTTATACTATCTCCAACAGCTTAAGCTTTTAGAGTAGATGGTTGTTTAATGTGGTATCAGAGTAGGAGGTCCTGATTGGAATTTTACCGTCATCCTAATTATTAAAAAATTTTAATATGCTATGCCCAAAATCTAGTCAGAACGTGAGGGAGCGTGTTAAAGTATAAATCCTTTAGTTACATCATCTCTAACAATTTAAACTTTGCAGTTGATAGTGTTTAACATTCTTCATATTGAATATCTTTATTCTAGGCATGTTCAATGGATTGAAATGTATCATGTATGATTGTATATTTGTATGGACTTGAATTTATGAGATAATGAATATTTGAGCTTAATTGATCAAGTCTTGTGCAATCAATTGATATCATTTTTGATTCATAATGTTTGGAGGCACACACTAATGTTTGAGGGCACACAATAATGTTTGGAGCACTTAGGAATTGAATTAGATGTGATTTGAATAAAAAAAGAGTGCCTAAAAAGAGTAGGGGACTTGCTCTTTGGAGCCATTCGACTGGGTTTAAACCCAATCGACTGAACCTGGTTGACTGGCCATAAATGTGGTCGACCAAGCTTCTGCAAAACCAGTTTTTTGCTCAAGACTTCATAGATCAAACCTTAGGCCTTAGGTAATCCTATCCTCACACATTATATGAACTGAACTAACAAGCTAATGTGAGTGAAATGCTGAAATGACCAAATTACTACTGGTCTGAATTAATCAAGAAAGAAGCCTGATAGAGCTAACTCTGAGCTAAACAGGAGAACTTCCAAAAGAAGTTCCCAACATTTTATAGGGATCCTATTCACCCCCCTTTCTAGGACCAGACAATAGCACTGGTTATAGATGTAGAGGTTTTTCATCTATCCAATTTGGTTGTCCAAGCTCTTGGTGTTTGAGTTTTAGAAGTTTTATTGCAGGGAAAAGTGTCTGACTCATTGTTGTGAAAAGTGAGCCTAGGTGAGAAGCGAAGCAAAGCGAGCCTTGGTCGCCTTGAACATCCAAGGCAAAGCGAGCCTTGGTCGCCTTGAAAAGCGAGGTTAAGTAAAACGACGAAAAAGTGAGCTTAAGCGAAGAAGCGAGTCAGGCGAGAAAAGTGAACACCTAATTGTAATTTTTTTATTTTCTCCTCCTCCTTTAACATTAACCAAATTCTAGCAGAGCTGATGTTATGTGTATATGTATAAAATAAATTGATTGATTTGTGTAACAGTATCATATGACAATCTGTTTTATTATGATTAGATAATGTTAAATGCTTTGTTTTGATGTGAATGCTCTTGTTAATCAATTTGCTTTATGCTCTATTTGATTAATCAATTTGTAAGTACTTTGTTTAGTGGTGATATTAATCAATCATGGTGGAAGTCGAACCCACATTTGCTAACTTTACATTTAGATGATGTGATTATGTCAATTGATTATTTTTAGAATATAATAATGTTCAATATTTAATATCTTGTCTATTTAAAATATGTTGATGTTTATTATTTTGATTGCATTTAAATATTTTATATTTATAAAGTTAAAACTTGAATATTTAGGAGTAATCAAAGTACAAAACTAAAGTATTTGCTTATTTTTTAAATTGTTCGCTTTGCTTTAATTCAGCGCTCGCTTCGCTTCTCGCCTAGTCCCTTAGAAGACCAGTTCACTTCGATTCGCTTTACGTCTTAAATAACCCTGGTCTGACTTCTCAAGCTATCAAGGTTTGCCATTGTTTTCTCAGCACAGTTAGAGGGTGCATTGGTGGTTGCCAGAATTATAAGGGTTATCCTTATGAAGCTTTGTCTTCCTTCCCTTATATCTTTGCCAGCATGTATGGTCATCTTATTCATCATCAGTCATCATCTGGTCGCTGTGGTTTANGGCCCAATCTTCACAGCTACATTTGTGAGTTTATTTTTGAAATAAATACAGAGACCATTCCTTTTTTCTTTACTCTGTTGCTTTTTTTTTCCTCTTCACAAAAAAAAAAAAACAATTACTTGCATCAGTGGGGAAAAAAAGGAAAAGCACACCTAAACAAGGAAGAGAAATCCAAGGAGGGGGATACAACCATGCTCTATGTTGTAAACAACCGAACTCCTCTGTAGCCAATTGAGACCAAACTCCCTCCATCCACAATCTCAGCTGCGGTCCTGATCTTATACTGGCTGATCTAACCATGCTAATAAGCACATATGGATAGCCACAGGCCTCGCACAACAAAAACAGAGAGCCACAAGCCTCCCGCAAATCTTCTAGAAGAGCAAGAACTCCAGTTTTGGTGGTGAATCCCTTACAATATCCTCACCCAACTTAATTACTTTTAATTTAATGAATTTTATCCTTTAGCTGTAATACAATTCATCAAAACTACAGCCTATCACATATATTAACAGCCAACAAGTGGTAGCTGGCTCCCTAACACATGGCCAAGAATTTCACTCAAACCTACTGCACATAAAAATATTACTGGAATAATAAGTGCATGAGTAGTTGCCTAATTAAGGCAAGTACTCTGGTCACATAAGAAAAAGCAACAACCAGAGATCTAAGTGAATCAGAAATTAAACCTCTTCAGGAATTAATTTTTCTGCCTCTTCAGGCGAAACCTCCTCAGTCAACTGCTCAAGTACCGACCCTAATACTTTCAGAGTTGCAAAAACCCTTTTCCTTTTCACAGTTTTACGTTCCAACCTGAGTTAAAAAAAGAGATGATAAATCATAGTGATCATAATTGGACAGCGAAAAACATAAAACAATGAAATGATTTTCAATAAGGTACAATTAGTCCTTTATAAGTACTATTAGATGAGATGTGTACTTCAAAAATGTTGCTAAAAGTGTCCCAATATGCCATCAACACTTCTTTGTGGATAAGAGAATATTGTTCTCACAAAGATTCTTTCAATGAAGAATTATACAAAAACTAATACAAAACAATATAGGCTCAGTATAATAAGAAGACCAACAATACCATATGCTATGCAACACAAGGTTGCTGCCTTGGGTTCCAGATAGTAGTAAGCTAAAGGCATAAAGAAGAAGCACAACCAAATATGGCATCATTCCTTTCCATACCCAGCAGCCCAATGCCAGATCCTCCAATTTACTATTCTCTTTTATATAATTTAATAATATTTTATTGTTTCCTATCAAAAAACACCAACTTCCTTCAAGTGAAAAACACCATAACTAGGGGAGCAGAATATGAGGAATTATCTTTGGTTAGGCATGGGAGAGGAGAGGAGAGATCATTTAATGAGTCGGGATGCAGCTTGGACAGCTAGAGAGGAAGGGGGTTTGAGACATGATAATTTGGTGTCTAAAAACATTTCCCCTGTTAGTAAATGAGAGTGCCAAAAGATTTGAATGGTTGGCACCCTAAATTAGGCTACAATTTAACTCATATGAATAAACGGAAATTGATTTCATAGGTACATCATTATTGTGTTCCTCTAATTCGTTACAAGATTGAAGATAGGTCTAAAATTTTATTTTGGGAGGATACTTGGACAGCGTTTAATATTGTGTTTCAGTTTTTCCATGTTTTTGTCATTTTTCCTCCATTCATAAGGCTCCTATTTTTCGTCTTCTTGTTCTGTTAGAATACTAATTCTTGGGATACCCATTTGTTAAGTGCCTCTATGATAAAGAAACAGCAGATTGAGTTTCTTGCTTGAAATTCTTTATAATTTTCATCCTACTTCTCACGGTTGTAGGCTTGACTGTGGATGATTCTGAAAACATTTCTTGTAGCTCTTTTTTTTTTTCCCTACCTTGTAAGCTCCAAGAATGATCATTAGTTTTCCTTAAGACAAAATCATCTGGAGATCAAAAGTTCCCTAAAAAGTCAAGCCTTTTTGTGTGGTTTCTTATTCTTCACAGTTTAAGCACTCGCTTTTGTTGCATATGAGGTCTTGTAAGGCGTTTAGTCCTGATATTACCTAAGAATTCTTGGGCATTCCCCCTGAAAGTGATGTATTGCACCCGCACCCCGGTGTTTTGAAAAATGGGCAATGGGCGTCTCATTTTAATCACTCCAACATACTAAGCTTAGGTTTGCAACTTGGAATATAGAAACAGTTACAATAAAGTAATGGAATTTGTTGCAACCATGATTTACGATAAAAGTTAATATAATATGCTTACAAGAAACTAAGTAATTAGAAGAGAAATCAAGAGAAATAGAAAATACAAGTTATAAATTTTAATATCCTGAAAAAGACGGACATAGAAATGGAGTAAGAATAATAGTAGACCAAAATCCTAAGCAAGAAGTAGTAACTACTCTCCAGAAATAAGATAAAATGATACTAATTCAGCTTGTAGTAGGACAAAACAAAATCCTATGTATTATGGATATATTAATTATAAAATATATTGCTTAAAGCTATTCAAGTCTTAAGTAGATACATTTCACAGATCAAGGACCCGGAACGTAATTCTTTACCCAAAATTTTGGCCTCAATGATCCTATTTCCTTGGTCTTTGAAGAGATTAACTAAAAAGCCCAAGGGCAGAACCCGCTTATTGGGCTAAGGAGTTCCGAATCTTAGCAATGCAAAATAGAATCTCTTTTTTTGGGGACAGAATAAGGAGGGCAAACCTATCTTATGCACATATCCATGTAGAACTCGACATACAAGATGCTCCCCATCAATTTGACAACTCCTGGTTGGAGAAAAGAGTTCAATAATACAGCACACACGGGCTTTGGACTATAAACAGCTACCGTTTAGGTGCAACCGTTGTCATGAATACAGTCGGGAGATGATATCCTAAACAAAACCAACTAATCCATCTATTAAATTCCAAGAGAAGACAGCTGGTAGGAGATCTCTACTCATTAAACCCCCTTGTATAGTAAAAGGAAAACAAAAGTGCACTCTTGCTCACCCGGAAGAAAGGAGATTTAGAAGCTTACCTTATTCATATTAAAAGGGGAAAGGGATCCAAACCTATCTTACTAATAATATATATGACTACAAAATAAAATATTATAGTTTTTGTCAATTAGTTAAGTCTTAACTATTAAGTGGGACATTATCTTAGAAGCCTTGCCCAAAACTAATAAAAAATTCTAGTTGAGTGATAATACGGTAGACTCTTAAACAGTCTCGGTAACCAAAGAGTCAATTTGACTCTTCATTTCAAATGCTCTACAGAGAGAGATGACACGTCGCCACATTGATCACCGAAATAAGGGATAAGGCTCGACAATCACGTCCTTCTACTTGACTACTTCAGAAGAAAAAGAAGAATAAGAGGAAACTTTGTTCACTATGATTCTTCCAATATTTTCTAAATACATATTACAAATTATATGAATTTCTTCTTCTATTTATGTATTTGTAAAAAGATGTCATTTAGGAATGAATGAATGACCAATTGATATAGGTTTCTATAATTTAGGGCTAAATTTGAGGGTCTTTGATTTTTTGCCAATTTTTCTTCATATTAGTACCGTTTTCTTTGGCTTTTTCTTCACCTCACGCTCTAGTTAAATTCTCACCCTCTTGTTCAATTCTGTTGCAAATCATCCAAGTCAAACCAGTGACCCTGAGTTGAACTAATAATGCCAAATCATGACCGAGTCGATGCCAATTCAAATGAGACTCGTTATATTTATGTAATGCCTATCATTATCGTATCAAAGGTGCCTGAGTCAACGCAGAGATGGTAGAAACTAAAACTGCAATTTTCAAATAGAAGTGTTAGTAAGAGGCAATTAAATATGGCACGGTTATATGGTTCATACTCTCCAAGGTCACCACTGAAAGCACCCGACTCCCTCAACTTCATTTCCTCTTCCCGTAGCTCGTCTACATTATGCTTCTCTCTATACTTCTTATAGAACTCCTGTAAGCGAGCAATGTCTAGACTTCTGTCAATGCTTCCACCTTCCCTCTTTGCAAGCTTTTGCTGCAAAATTAATAGAGAGTACAAGCAATTCATTGTATTGGAACTGACAGCTAGGAAATATACATCTATGGTTCACACGAATGAAACCCAATTAAAATTCATGAACATGGCAAAATAGAAGTCCTAAAAATATTTCTTATGCAAAAGTAGAATCCTTGCATCAGAGTGACACACATGCCAGAAGCAATAAAAGCAAACAGATTTAAAGTGTCCAAGGCGGTATCGTTTTGTTTTTCCTAATAAGAATGCTTATACTAAAATCATTTAATTATTATCAAGTATTGTACCAACATACATCTAAGATGCTAATCATCAATGCTTAGAAGTACCCCACATATTGATCAATATTGTAAAAAAAACATGTGCATGCATGTGCAAGCACATTTTTTCCTTTGTTCAAACAAAGTAAACACAAAATGAGGTTCTGGAGAATGCAACACAACTCTTAACCATCTCATCAACAGAAAAGATACCTTGATTACAGACATCAAACCAGTCTTGAACTGTAACACGCCCCTTCCCTCGCTATTAGGATCTAAATTTTGAGCCAAAGAATAAGCATGCTCACATACTGTATCAAATCAACAAAAAGTTAACAGTTACAGATGAATAGAATGACTTCCATCAAGCATATTAGAAATCATTGCAGAATGCTAGGGGACACGGGGATCTTATGGAATAAATTTTCAAAGGGTGTCCTGCCCCCAAGCAAATGAATATCTTCAAGTTTTCCCAACATGGAAAATTAAAATAGCAACAGTGAGAAGCAAATTATCCTGTTTGCAATGAACTAACAAGAAGCATCCAAACATTAACAGAAAACGACAACCAACAGACAAACCACGCAGTTTAATACACTTGTTTTTGTTATTAATGAAGAATAATACTATGAGATATGAGATAATAGCAGCACTCTATGGAGGACAAGATACCCTTACGAGATTGAAAAAAAAAGACCAACAAAAAGAAAACTGAAATAAAACCACCTTTCACCCAGCTGAAAATCCAACCAAGGCACCCCATATCTAGATGCAGGTGGCAATTACTTTTAAACCATCAGATAAATTTGAGCCCTCCTCCAAAAGTTCATCACCATCTCTTATAATATTCAAACATCAGATTTTGAAAATATTTTAAAAGGTTTCCCATGTTGCACGAATGCATTTCAGCATTAGAAACCCTACTCTTCCTTCATTATATAAATATAAAGTATTATTCTAATCTAGTAGGCTTTTTCATAAATGAATTTCTTCCACATTTCGTGGACATCATCTTATCTTTATCTCATGAATCATCCAAATAAACTCTCAGATCACTTGGTGTAGCCAAAGGATCTCTTCCCCTACGCTCCCCCCCCCCCCCCCCC